AAAAAAAAAAAAAAAAAAAACGCCTGGACGCCCATAAACCTCGCCATGGTCCGGACCACGCTGGTTGCGTTGTTGACGAAGTCCTTCCGCACGGGTGGGATTAAGGTTGCATGATATCCGGAAGCCTAGGAATAACCCTCCAGGTACCTACTATATAGGGCCCTAGGGGCTCTGGGGGGTTAGGGTAAGAATAAAACAGGGCTCCGTTTTTGGGTGTTGGGTAGTTTGTATAACTGCGGAGCCTAGGACAACAGAAAGTGGCAAAGGGCCCACCAGCAAACTTAGCCCTAAAACCCTTGGAGGGTTCTCCTGGGCTTGACAAATGCTTCGCACTGAATGTACAACACCGACAAATTTAAGACTGGCTCGAAATGTTGGTGCTTGCAGTTGAAGGTGACAGCGAGGCAATCATGAGATGTACGAATCATTTCGACGGGAAATCATCCTAGATCCTTGGCAATCACACCCACGTATGCAAACAGTGGACACTAGTTTGGAAACCGAATGGCATAACCAAAGACTTCCCAAGGTTCAAAGCACCTGTGCGCTTGTGGCCCATGCACTTCCACTAAGTCTACTATGTAGGAACAACTGCGAACTCCACGCTTGCCTAGAACCTTGGGTGCAGCTCCGTTGGTTCGTTGGTGGATATGGAGACATGATTCGAATTTCTCCGACCCACACGTTGTAGAGGCCGTGGCGCCCTCCAACGGTGTACCTACGGATGGCCGAGGAACAAATGAGCTGAACCGGTACGGTTTCGAGGCAGCCCTCGCCGAAATCGCGGTCTCAGCATTAGGTTTTGCAGTTACCTTCGCGCGTATGAATCCTCCCCGCCGCCTAGCCGCCACCCCCCCACCCCCCACCCAAACAAAAAAAAACAACAACTACCAAGATGCTACGCCGACAAACCCAGAACCCATGATCTGAACCTCCCGAGGTCGTTACTCTTGAACCATGAAACCGATCAGCACTCTTGAAGGAGTCCTCGAAGAAGAAGACGGCTGCCAGACGGTCATCCTGGGATTTGAAGCAAACAAAAGGAAAAATAGAGATAATGTAGGGGCTTTAATAGTTAGAATAGCGTTTGGGGTGTTCCTTAGTATAATTGTAGTATAAAAAATGTCCCAAACCCTATTCTAATTATTGAGGGCCCCTATGCTATTTCTCTTGAAGTTTGCATCGAAACTCAACGCCAACACCAAAAACACCAGGCACAACAGTCTCAAGCCCAGCGTCTATTTCTCGGATCTGCGACACGATGCGATGCCGCAAGTTCACCCAGCGCGACACTGGCTGTATGTGCCTGTGCCATGAACCCTGAACAATGAACCCCCAAACCCCAACCCTTTAAAAGCGGCTGGGCTTTCTGGTGGTTGGGGCTATCTGCGGAAGTGCTTACTGCTGCCCGTTAAGATGCGAGTCTAGCCAACAAAAATCGACCTTGGACCAGCATCGTGCGAAGTGTTGGGCAGCCGCAGCCCGACAAAGGCAGCGACAAAGCACACAGTCTAGTTCATGCTCCGTGTCTTAGAACTTATACCTACTATCTATCCGATCTACCCGCTAATAAAAAGCTCTAATCATGGAACATTTCATATACAACAGGTGTTGCGGCTCTCTGACAATAGTTCCATCCTTGACTTCGATCCCGGAAGCCCTTTGATGCCACCAAAACCCCGAGCCGTGATACCCGCCCCTGAATCTCGCAGTATTGCTGGTTCAGGGCTCGCAGGCTTCCGTGCTTTAGCTGCAGTAACCTCTGCAAGCCATGCCCTTCACCAGTCGACTGATTCTTCGTCGGCTTACGGACTCTGAACCCTGCACCCTCCCTCCCTGCCTCCCTCCCTCCCTTCCCCCTCCCCTCCCCCTCCCCCTCCCTCTCCCTCTCGCTCTCGCTCCCTCGCTCTCGCTCTCCCTCTCGCTCCCTCGCTCTCGCTCTCGTTCTCGCTCTCTGCCTTTTTGTCCCTTTCTCTCCCTCTCTCTCTCTGGTCTCTGTGCCTCTCTCCCCCTAAACCCAAAACAGAAGCATATTTCCAATAACCCTGTACATACCGATACTATATTATGAGCCCTGTAAACCGGATCGCCGCGCCGATGCCTCATCGCGAAAAGCGCCATGCCAGGGCAGTCCTGGTTCTTGGCTGCTCCTGGATCTTGTCTAGCTGTGGTTTAGGGTTTCGTGCTTTAGGGATTTAGGGCTCTTTAGGGTTTAGGGCTTGGGCACCCGATACTTGACAGTGTGCTTGACGGCATTTATGCTTAACTGGTTCAGCGCTTCTGGGGTTTAGACAACACCGAAGTTCTAACGCAGTGGCTTAATTTAGGATTTGTTTGAATGGGTTCAGGGTTGAGAGTTTGTTGGTTTTTGGGCGTAGCGGAACACAAGATGTAAGTTCGAGGGCCCGGGATGCCTAAGAGGCCTATCACGAACAAGCCACACCCATTCGACATCCGTGGAGAGGGAGGGTTCAAGCTGCAGTTGACAACCTTAAGCCCCTAGAGACTCCAAAACCCCTTAATTAAGGAATATACCTTAAATTATAACAGGATTCCTAATATCATTTAAAGTATATTCCGTAATTAAGGNNTAAGGGGTTTTGGAGTCTCTGGGCCGAGGTGTAACCTGGAAAATTTTGGGGGCTCTGGCTCTGCAGGGCTGAAATCTGAAAGGACGTAGGAATGACATGGCTGAGATTCTCGGTTGCGCTGTGCTCCGTGCATGGTATGCTGGGCAAAGCATTCAGGGAGGGAAGATTCGAGGGAGGCTTGCAAAACTTACTCCTTGGGATTAGACTATAAGATACCCCAAACACCCGGTTCTAAGCCAACTACTTCGTAACAAAGGCCCGTACAGTGGGTGGATTCGGTGAAGAAACCGTTCGTACGGGTAGCTGGAAACACCCGGAGCCGGCGCTCGAAACCCTCGCTCTGCTGAGGCCTTAGGGTTTAGGGCCCAAAATACACCTAAACATGAGGATCCTAGTTTTAAGGGGTAGCCTGAAGTCAGTCTCGTCGTAGCGTAGTGTGCTATAGCCGCTGTAACTTTCGTGAGTGCCAGTTGCAAGTAGTTTGTATTTATGTGTCAGCTTAAGCCGTGACCTACGAGCAAGACGGGCAGCAAAAGTGAGCCGCGTACATCTGGGGGTTTTAGAAGGGCCTTTTTACAAGGGATTCCACAAAACCAATTCAGGTGGCATTTTGGGCCCCTCGAGCTGCAAGGTCCGTGTAAGCAAGCTTGAAACCAAAACACACATAAGATAGTTCCCCTTACACTCCTCAGACTGCGAATCTCAAAACTTTTGGCAACCACAAACCCTTGAACCTGAACCCCTACGTTTTAGGCTTGCCGGTTTAGGGAGTTTAGGCCTCAGGCTGACTTATCTAACTGATTGAAACCTCTCTCCTGCCGCGCGGAAGGAGGCAATCACCAAATCGCGGGGATCCTGCATGTAGAAGAATGGTCTGAAAATTATCCAGACTATTCCTTTGAGTACCTTGAACTGAACTATCTACAACATACCCCCCCCCCC